TTTATTTAATATATTCTTAACTTATATATATCCATGTATTAAACAAAATTTTCATTTGAAAACATTAATTTGGACGCGCTAAACTGTCCGCAGTAGTAGAAGTAGAAGTACAAATAAAAAATTTTGGACGCGCTAAGCAAAATCCTTCCTTCCAAAGTAAGCTCAGTTGTATTTGTTTTACATTCAGTCGATCTCTTCTTGATTTTCATCTTTGACCTGATCGAAACACCGATGGTACCGCCGCCGGCAACTTCTTCCAACCCCCAACAGATCCAGCAGTTCCTCAACTCAGTTCTCTCGCAGCGTGGGCCTTCAGCTCTCCCCTACGTCGAGGACACTAAATGGCTGATCCGTCAGCACCTCGTCACCCTCATGTCTCATTTCCCCTCTCTTGAGCCGAAGACCTCGTCCTTCACCCACAACGACGGCCGATCGGCCAACCTCCTCCAAGTCGACGGCACCATCCCCATGTTCTATATGAGCGTCACCTACAATATCCCTATCATCATCTGGCTCATGGAATCTTACCCTCGCCACGCCCCTTGTGTCTACCTCAATCCCACTCGCGATATGATTATCAAGCGCCCGCATTCCCATGTCTCCCCCTCCGGCCTCGTCTCCATTCCCTACCTCCAGAATTGGATTCACCCCAGCTCCAATCTTGTTGATTTGGTCCACAATTTGAGCGCTACGTTTGCCCGCGACCCCCCTCTTTACTCCCAGCGCGTTCCTAACCCTAACCCTAACCCTAACCCTAACCCTCCTCTCAATCCCTCTGGCTCTATCAATTCTTCAATTTCATCGAGTTACGGATCGGTGGGGCGTTCCCCTGTGATGCAACAGCCTCCCAGGGCTCAACAGTACCCAGCATCACCTTATGGAAGGGTGCGGACTCAAACAGAGGATGCGGCGGAGGTCTACAGGAAGAACGCAGTGAATAAATTGGTGGAGATGGTCCATGGCGACACAACTGGCGTGAGGAAGGCAAGGGAGGCAGAGATGGAGGCGTTGTTCAGCACACAGGCAGTTCTAAGGAGGAGGGAGGAGGATATCAATAGAGGGTTGAAGGAGATGCAGGACGAGAAGGAGAGCTTGGAGCAGCAACTGCAGGTTGTCTTGATGAACACGGACATATTGGATTCCTGGGTGAGAGACAACAAGGAGAAGACCAAGAAATGGGGGGATTTAGATGTTGATAATGCATTTGAATGCATGGACCTGCTTTCTAAGCAAATGTTGGAAAGCACAGCGGCAGATTTGGCTATTGAGGATGCGGTATATTCATTGGATAAGGCTTTGCAGGAGGGAACGGTTCCATTTGATCAGTATTTAAGGAATGTGAGGTTGTTGTCAAGAGAACAGTTTTTCCAACGGGCCACAGCTGCTAAAGTTAGGGCAGTACAGATGCAAGCTCAGGTTGCTAGCCTGACTGCTAGGATACAACAGTTTATCGCATAACATTTTACATTTTAGGATCGTGTGACTTGTGTCTGAGGATTCTCTAGTTGGAGGTTAGCTCTAGTGAAATTATCAACAAAACTTATGTTCTCTCACTATATAGCTCTTTTTTTTTTTTTTTTTCTTTCCTTATCTGTTTTATGTTGCTCTTCTTCAATCTATATCCATATAGGAAATATAGCATTTTGTTGATAATAATGTATATTGAGGTAGTTGATATCAACAGTTGAAATTCATATTTGGATTGAACCATCTATTTCTTTTATGGAATTTGAATTTTGATTGTACAATTCCTGTTTGCTCATATTTTGAGTTGGATTATGTTCCATCTAGTTGCGGTGATATGAAAGACTGAAATGGAGTCGTGTTGCATCTGTTGGTACTAATTAACTTTCTCTGAAGAATACACTGGGTAATATTTGTCATCTCTTTGTGTTGATATTTTCTACTCAGCAAGGACTTCTCAGACTTCTGTTCAACTTACAGCAATTTATGTTGCTTCTTAATGACATTCGTCATGGCATTTAATACCCTTATTCTATGATTGAGGCAGGGCAATTGCTAAGATATTCACTGTTCCCTGCGTCTCATTTTCTCCAATCATCTTATTAATATTTGAGATTGTCCCTTATATTCCAAAGAACATAAATGTTGTTACTTGTTAATAATTGTTGATTGGATCATATCGTCTCTGTGAGTTTTAGATAATTGATTGATCTGGTTGTCAATCTAGTAATCCTATATTCTTATGGTCATGCTGCTTCATAGTTTCATGATGCTGTGTCCAGCTATTTAAGTATGCAAAACATGGTAATGCTCCTTTTATTATTATTTTTTTTCTCTTTCTGCATAGCCCTCAAGATTTTAAATTTCCATGGTTGTTTTTTAGCTCAATCCCAAATTTAGTCCGTTGCTATTGCAATTGACTGTTGTTGGGTTACCACACTGCCTGAGACATGACCTTTTAATTTATCTTCACAAGGCTATATCTTCAACTTCAACCATGAGTTCCGTTATCCCTCCTCTAAATTCAAGATTTTTTTTTTTTTTTTTGGGATGAGATGAGGACTTGATTTTAGTGAGTTCGAAATTCTTGGTAAATTAGGCCTTGAAAATGAATTTGTGCTCAGGCAGCTCTCTGCAAAGAGACAAAAGGGTCAAAGGAATTCAATTTATAATAGCATTGGCAGCTCTTCAATGCAGCAGTAATTGCATCCTTAGGCGCCTATAGGGGGCCAAAATGAAAAGGCATACGCATGATACTCCAGTTGAGAAAAACAAAGAACCCCGTCGTGCAAGAATAGCAAAAGCAGATGGCATTAAATTTTGCACCTATGGCTAACTACAGTGGAGGAAGATACAAAGACGCTAATGTTTCTCAAAATTCTCTAGTGCACCGACTCCTAGCCATATATGTTCAATCTGTGAACATTTGACATCTGTACATTCAACTGTGAGTAGCAGTAAAAGAAAAACTTGATCTAATGTGCAGAAGAATCCACCAATTAAGTTGTAACTTTATATACCAAGGGTTTCCATGTTCAGCTTTAAACTCACTTCCACCACCAAAACTGTCTAAACAGATATATCTTCCTCATCCGAACATCATATGTCATGAAAGCCCTAGCTTTCACAGGATCAGCATTCAAATACTCAAATGCATACATTTGTTTCGACTCTTCCAAACCATCAATCTCCATCACTGCGTCTAACAACTCAGTGGGATTGATTGCAGTTTTACTCCGCTCAACTGCATCAGCCAAATACCGAATGCTTGCTGCCACAGTTAACAATGCTTCCTGAAGGGCAGCATCTGAGTTTCGAGGTCGTTTTGGAAGTTGCCTGAGAGGCTCAAACATAGGAGGATCTTGATTATCATCTTGCACATTTTCTTGTGTTCCAGAGTATGATTCTGTTCCATCTGTATCACCTTGCTCTTCTGAACTTGGTGATAGGAATGAAGTTGAATCTTCATCATAATTCCTTGAGCCAGCAGGATTATTTCCATCCTTCATCTTAGCCCAGCGACTAGGAGCTTGATAATGTCCACAAACAATCCTTAGTTCATCATACATCTCAATCTGCTTTCCTCGAAACCCTCTTGCATCGGGGTGTGCCTGTTAAATTTGTTTGAAGCTCAGTGAAATCATCATATTATTTTAAAGAAGGATACGAGAACTAAGAGAAAGGGCAAAAAAAAAAGAAAAAAAAAACACCTGTTGAAGGACAGGAGAGAGTAAAATACTTACAGCAATATATCTCTTCCAAAGATCTTCATTTTCACATTCAATCATCCTTGTACTTGGATTCCACCTGAATCCATCTTGATTTAGCATATCCCTCATTACTTTATACCTTTTCTTAATTGTCTTGAGGCGATTAATGACTTTCTGATTGTTTAAGTTTAAATTGAAACGAGAGTTCACAGCAATACAAGCAGCAGTATATGCATTTTCATTAAAGCATTTGTCAATTTTATTCCCACTTTTAGCCTGAATGGCAAGGGCTTCAATCAGACATTTGTCCATTGCAATTGACCATACCACATTCCTTCCTTTATGCTTCATCTCCCTTCTCTGTGCTTGCAGGTCATAGTGGTTCATTCCTAATCCAGTATGAAAGACAAAAGAAGCAAAAAAGAGAAGAAAATAAATTACAGAAGTTTTCATGCTTAGGCACGAATTAGTAAGCAGACAGTAGAAATTCAGTTGCGCATGTGAAGAGATTATGAACTAACACACACTATCTTCCTCTAACGAGATTATAATACCAAGTTGACTTGGTTATCCAAAAAATAAAACAGTTTAAAATGAAGACAAAATGTTGAGAACACTCAAGAACTCCATACTAGTTAAGAAACATAGCAATTCCATGCTAAAACCAAACTGCTTGGGAAGGAGAGTAGGGCCTTCACAATTTATATACACTAGAGACATATCAACCCAAATACAATTGACCAGACCACAAAAACCCTCATGTTGCTCCTTTGGGATGACATCTAAGCCACCATTCTCTTAATTCAACATTTATGGATCAATCTTAAGCAAGAAATATACAAAAAAAATAAAAATAAAAATTGAGAACACCAAAAAGTCAATAAGGATTGACCCACAGAAAACCAAAGCTCAAAAGTTGAACTCTCTAATACCCAAAATCACTGAATGGTATCCTACTTCATCTACTTCGCAAAATTGATAAAAAAAAAAAATTGCAAGAACGATTTTGCCAAGCAAGAAGGGAACTGGTACTGGCTACAGACAAAAGGAACACCAGAAACCCAATAAACTTCAAACAAAGTTTGAAAAATTGTGGGGGAATTCACAGTGTCAATCAGAGAAAGCAATATAACGAACAACGAGACACCCAGCACCATCGAATTCCATTATCCATTGATACTTCACATGAAGACGTATAAAAACGTACTGGTGTGTGCAAATAAAGGGGAAGCATAATATCGAAAGTGGGGGAAAAGAAAGGAACCTGAGTGAAGGGACAGTGATGAAGCCGCATCCGATCGCCGGCAGGAGTAGCTATAGCAATAGGAGGAGGAAACACTCCTCGTGGAAATTTGAAGGTTTTATTTACAGACTTAATTAGGGTTTTGCTGTTGTTTTCTTTTGTCAAAAAATTTTCCCCAGCCAAGGCACTTTCTCGAAAGCCAAACGCGTGGGGGAGGAGAAAGTCCAGAAATGCTATGGCGCACAAGTTCTTGCAAGGGAGAATGTGAAGGTCCAGTGCTAAGCTTCCACGTGTCTCATCTCGATATTTTTTATTTTATTGATAATAATTGGATAGCAAAAGCATTTTGCTAGTACTCTTACCGTCCTCTGGTTTAAAACGACGTAGTTCGTATTGTCTTGAAAATAACATAAATGAGATTATTTTAATATTATTTTATAATATTTTATTAAAATAAGTAGTATTATTTTTTTAAAAATATTTTTTGCTTAATTTTTTACTATACAAGTTAATATTTATTTATAATAATAATAATAATAATCATCATCATCATTTTTTACTTATTTATTATTTAAGAGCAATTTATATTTTTACTTAATGTCATGTATAGGTAAAAAAATTAGATAATAATAAAATTAAAATAAAAAATTTATCTTTCTTATAATAAAAAAAAATTACTGCATTTAATCTTGAACATATTGAGTATTGTAATAATAATAATAATAATAATAATAATAATAATGATGATGATGATGATGATAACCTTATTATTGTGAGAAGGATGGGGAATTGAGCAGCGGTAACTGGTATGGAAAATATTGTTTTTCAGAGTGTAGTGACATTGAAGTTAATGAAGGACCATCATGTTATCTTTTCCTTGTCTTCCTATAAATTTTTTTGTTTTAACACTTCCAAGAAAATAAATTTTCCATTACCATTTTTTTTTATTGACATTTAACTAAAATCCTGAAATATATCATTCAGAGTATTTTCCTTGGAACAAACTTTTTACAACGTACAGAAACTACAAAGTATTTGCTGACATAACCACAAGAGAAGGCATCTCTCTGCTGACATAACCACAAGAGAAGGCATCTCTCTGTTTATTGTCTTTGGACAATGAAGAAAAAATGCCACATTTATCTTCATGTCAATAGAGTACAAGATCAGCTTCAGAAGAGGCATCCAATCCTCGTCGCTGGCAAATGCACATTACATACCTAGAAGGTTTCAACCTCTTTAAATTCATCCTGTTCTTCCACATTGTGAATAGTTTTGTAAGTGGTACCTGCATTCACCTCTATCAACTGTTGATGCTTAATGAAGTTACTTGCTGATGAACTATTATGGATGCTTCAGTTCGGTTGATCTAATGCAGAAATAAAGCTTTTTTATGTGCGAATCAAAATTAGCATGCAGATCTTCTAAGCTTCACTTCAGTGTCTAACACCCTCAACCAAGTGTCATGATACCATCAAGACAAGCACAAGAATACAAAAGGGGTGACTGTGACTGTGACTGTCTTCCCCAATTGTCAAGAAGCACAAGGGCCGAGTGTGAATACAAAAGCTGATTGAGATGACTTGCTGAACCTCTTCTGCTGCCTAGGTTGCCAATGTTCAACTCAGTCTTCTGTTGTAGGGACAAACATTCTACATAAAGGAGACTAACTGGTATTTTATTGGAAACCTCATTATTTAGGTCCAGGGGCCCCATTCCCAATAAACTTCAATAGCTAGTATATCAACTCTCAAGTTTGAAGGCAAAATTCACCAATAATCTCCACAAGAACAGGTCCCATTCATGAAATGATGGAACCGGTGCATATCACGCACAATGATTTCTCGACCAGTCACAAGTGAAATGTATTTAGTTGCGTTATGACAATCACTGCAAACACGTAGATTTTTCCTGATGTGTATAGTTGTACCAGGACTGGTATTTAAAAGCCCAAATGCAATAGCCAGCCTCTCACTGTGAGTGTTGTTTAACTGCTCTTTAACATCATCTTCCACATCATGAATTGAACTTGTGTCAGGGACATATCCTGCAGCTTTGATCTCATCTCCCAGTTTCTTAAGGAAAGCATGGATCTCCCTTGATTGGGGATGATCTGTGCTTCCAGAATAGAAACTGTGAACCTCGTTTCTCAACTCCACTAAACTGCAGCCAGGTGTTTTCTGAAGCCCTTTTTTCTCCATAATGGTTCTTATTTTGGCCACTTTGTCCCACATTGAAGCTGTGGCATATATGTTAGCAAGCAGTGCATGGTACCCACCTTCATCTGGATTTAACTCAAACAGTTTGCTTGCTGCCTTCTCCCCCAACTCAACATTCTTATGGATTTTGCAGGCACCTAACATGGCACCATATACATTAATCTCTGGCTGAATAGGCATCTCTTGGATAAATTTCCAAGCCTCCTCAAGCCGACCAGCTCGACCAAGAAGGTCAACCATGGCACCATAGTGATCCATAGCAGGCTCTATGCCATAATCTTTCATGCTGTTAAAGTAGCAGAGCCCCTCATTCACCAAACCTGAGTGGCTGCAAGCAGAAAGAACGCACAGAAATGTTATGTCATTTGGCTTGATACCCCCTTTCTGCATCTCAATAAACAGTTCTACAGCTGCTTTTCCAAGTCCATGAGTTCCATAACCGTCTATCATAGTATTCCATGTTGTCACATGGTGCTCGTTCATCATGTCAAAGAGCATTCTGGCTGTGTGAACTGCTCCACATTTTGCGTACATATCGACTAGAGCAGTTATAACAAAAACATTATCATCTAAATGACTTCTTATACAAAGTCCATGAATCCATTTTGCCTGGCGTGTAACAGATAACTCTGCTAGAGCAGGAATCACACTCACCAACGTAAATGAGTCTGGTTTTATATTTTGAGACCACATCTCACAGAAGTAATTTAATGCCTCATTCACACACCCATTTTGTGCAAAGCCTAAAATCATTGCATTCCAAGAAACAACAGTTTTACCTTGCAAGTTTTCAAATATATTTGCAGCAATGTCAACTCTCTTGCATTTGGAATACATGGAAATCAGAGAGTTCATCACAGAAACATTGGAGCCAAGTTGCAGCTGATCCCATAATTTATGGACAAACTTTCCCTTTTCAAGATCACCTAAATCCGCACAGGCATGCAGAGCTCCCATTACAGTAACATCAGTTGGTTCCACCCCTTCATCCAACATATTTTGAACAATTCTAATGGCTTCCTTAGGTTCTCCTCCTTGCACGTAACCATCAATCATGGAATTCCATGATACAACAGTTCTCTCTTCCATCCCATCAAAAATTAAACGAGAAATACCAACAGAACCACATTTGGAGTACATGTCAAGCAATGCACTGGAAATGTTCACGAGTGACTCAAACCCAGCTCTTATCGCATACCCATGAATTGCCTTCCCAACTCTCAAAGCCCCAAGGTTTGCCACAGCAGGCAAAATTGAAACGAGTGTGATTGAATCAGGCCTCTGGCCTTCTTCATGCATTCGAATAACCAATTCCAGAGCAACCATTCCTAATCCATTTTGTGCATAGCCAGAAATAATCGTATTCCAAGAAATCAAGTCCCTTTCAGGCATTCTATCAAACATCTTATGGGCTTCCTCAATCTGCCTACACTTCGCATACATACTGACAATCCCAGTCATTGCAAACACGTTCGACGAAAACCCACTAGTAATCAAATGCCCATGAATCTCCTTTCCCCTCCTAAGATCCTTTTTATCACCGCAGACTTTCAATAAGTAAGTAAAGTTATACACAACAGGCTTAATACTATCATACCTCATTCTAGTAAAGAAGGATACAGCATCATCCAAAGACGAATTCTTCGCGTACCCTTTAAGAATAGTGTGATAAAGAACGTCGAGTTTATCTTCAATCGGTTCGAAAACCCGGGCAGCTTCGCTTATGCTCCCATTTTTGCAGAACAAACTAACAAGCTTGGTTTGGAAGAAATGCTCATTGTAAAGACCACTCTTTATTACCAAGGGGACGATTTGGTGGAGTTCTTTCATGGAACTGCAGAGTTCGAGGAGGAGAGCTGCGGGGTGCTTGTATATATGAGTTGGGATATAGGCTCTTTGTGTAAGAAAGTGACGGTGAGCTTCGGAGGATGATTTTGGTGTGGCGGCGGTGATGACACTCGGGCGCAGAGGCGTCGACGGTAAGAACTCCGACCTCATCTTCTAAGCTTGTCTCTGTTCATACTGTGTGTCTTGCCGCCGCTGCTGCTGCTGCCGCCATGGCAAATCCTAAGTTAATGGACAGTTTATGATCAGAAATCCTCTTAAAAGAGCAATTGGTCCTCAACCTTTAGAATTACCTGCAACTTCATCCTTAACAAACCTTTTTCTTCCTCC